AACAATTAATAATGGTGTTAATTTTGTGTGATTTTCACTTACATTAATATTATAGTTAATAATGAAAATTATATTATGGACAATAAATGATTAAAGATTATTTGTGTCTGAAAATTCCCAAAAATAATATTTGGAAAAAAGTTATATTGAGATTCAAATTAATGACTCGAAAAAAAATTTAAAAAAATAAATTGCGTAAATAAACGTTTTTAACATTCTTTTTTTAAAATTAAATTTGTAAATTGATCAATTATAGTATAGTCAACTATACTTACTTATCTTGAAGTTTTTCAAAGAATTTACCTATAATTGTTTATTTTTTACAAACAAAAACAAAATTAAAAATGTTATACCACCATGCTCCAATGCTTGTATAGTGCGAGCGTCTATTTAAAATTATAAACATTATAAAAAAATAAATATTGATTAGAGCAAAAGTTTTATGAAGGCCTTCGTCTTTTCGTTGCACCTTATACGATATACGATATTATATACYTATAATAATTGTTTCACTTAATGTAGTAAYGCGTTATGGTTACTTCCACTAATCTAATTGATTGCTTTACATAATATGTAATTATATGTATATGTATATTATGTATATTATATGTTATAAGAACATTAATTTATATTTGATTATAATAATTATGATGACAAAGGGTAATTTGATAAAAAAAAATTAATATATATATATATATTTCTACATACATATATGTATATTAATTAATTTCTGAGCATATAAGACAAAAATAATGTTTGAACGTCCTGTTTTTTTTTTCAGTTTTTGTACCATGTTGGAGTCGCGCCGAATTTGTACGCAACGTTCGATAATGGTATGGTGTACAAATACATTATAGGCGAAACGTTGACAACTACCACATGCCGGGACCCGAACATTTACAGGCAAGTAGCCAAAACGATGGCGAGATTTCACCGGTTAACTACAAGTGGCAAAACGACGAGCGACGAAACTATCAAATCCGGACTTTGGAGTAAAATGGAACAGTTCGCCAATCTCATCCCGGAACGTTTTAGCTCTCCTTCCACCGACAACCGGTCAGTGCATAAACTATAAAGCAATTCATAGTATTATTAGTGATGATTTCAACGTATAAAATCCCTATATTTTATCGGTCAGCGTGATGATGGGTGAGTATATATGGAGGTATATACTATACTGTAGTAGTGTTTTCKAAAAAACTAATCGGGAATTTACAACATTTATATTACCTATTTATATAAATAAATAATATTACTTCAATAAAAAAAATAAATATTTTTCAGTGGTAACTGTTCATTGGCTAAATGTTTTAGTATACGATTT